TTCAGGTTGAGTGACCCTTCCTCAGAACTGTTCTGAGGAAGGGTCACCAGATCCGAAATGTTAACTCTGATTTTTCTTCACAGATGCTGCCAGATCTGCTGAGCTTTTCCAGCAACTTCTGTCCTTGTTCCTGATTTACAAGCATCCACAGTTCTTTTGGTTTTTATTAAAAGTAGTCAGGTGGGTTTGGGAAGTGACTCATCTGATTGATACTGGTCATGGGAAGAAAATCAGTTCTGTGAGACAAATATGTTGAAACTGTATCATCACAGGAAAGAGGATAAGAAGAAGCAAGTGTGCTGGGTGGTAAGACTAGTTGCGGATGACAGAGACAATAAAAGTAAGATAGAAGGAGAGGTAGACAGTTCTCAGCGTGAGCCTTTCTGTAATTTGACTAGCCAGTATAGAAATACTGGGACAGTTAGATACCGTGTTCTCGTATATACAGTAAGGAAAATGGGAGGATCTTGTAAAAGAACTTAAAAACTATAAGGAAATCTGTAGAGATACTCCTGGATGTACGATAATAGCTCGGCATGGAGAGTCAACGCCAATAAAACAACATCTTTTCAGTTGAGCCCAGAGAAGCAAGCTCAGGTGGAAACAGAGATTCAATACATCCTGGAAATTTACTTGATTGAACCTAGCCAAAGCACCTATAGTTCATTGATATTGTTGGTTTCTAAATCAAACGGATCAACTTGATTCCATATAGACTTGAGAAGTAAATGTTGTCACAAAAACACGTTCATACCCAATTCCTCAACAAGAAGAATGTATCACTATGGTTGGCTGTGCCTCATTCCCTAACAAGTTTGATCTATTGGAGGGATATTGGCGAGTGCCAAGGACTACAGAGATATCCGCTTTTATCACACCAATTGGGTTGGGCCAATGTTAAGTCATGCCATTAGAGTTAAAGTAACCCCAGTTATATGTCTAAAACTTACGAATAAAATCATGACTAAAGCACCTAACTATATGGTTTATTTAGACAATGTCATAGAATATAGTAACAAATGCAAAGAACATGTAAGACAACTGGAAGACTGGTCTAAGCAATTTCAGTTAGATGACATCACAATAAATTGAGGGAAAGTTAATTTGTAAAAGCAATAGTGACTTACCTAGGACATATTGTATGACAAGGACAAGTGTTGTCAAGGACAGGCAAAGTAAAGTCTCTACAAGGATTCCCAGTTTCCAAAAACTAAATGGAGGAGATCATGAACTTTTTCACAATATATGTGATTTACTGGAAATATGTGTGACTTCTACATAATAGCTGTACTTTGAACAACCAAAAATTGTACGGTCAACATAATGGCTTTTGAAAAACTGAATGTAATGCTAATAAATGAACCAGTTTTGGCCACCCCTGTCTTTACCAAACCTTATAAAATAATAATTAATCCCAGTGGTTTGGACGTAGGTGATGTTCTGTTACAAGATGATGCATCAAGATTAGAGGGGCCTCCTTTTTTTGGAAATTAAGCCAATATCAGAAAAACTACACTACTGTAGAAAAAGAGTCTTTGGGATTATTATTAGCTCTTTAATACTTTGAAGTGTATGTCAGACATGATAGCAGGGAACATTATCTACACTGACCATAATCCATTGGCCTTCATTGAAAAGTTTAAAACTCAATCCTGAAACTATTCAGATAGAATCTAATGTTTTGACCATGTAATGTAAAGATTATTCATATTTCTGGAAAATATAATGTAATTGCAGATGTGTTATCCCGAGAGTAAGACATTGGAAGAAGTTAAGGGTTTGGGAAATTCTGAAAAATTGATTAAGATTATTTAAGGGAAGATGAATGAATGTAATTTTCATTTTTTTGTTGCTTTTGTGTCTCATGTTGAAGCACATTTTTGAAATGGAGTTTCATCTCTTATAAAATGAAAGCTTTCGATTATGGACCAAAATGAGAAAAGTACTACTTTAAACCAAGTGAAAACAAAATATTGCAAGGCTGAAAACCTGAAAATGCTGGAGAAACATTAGTAATATCTAAACTGTTCTCTACAGTCATATCAGACTGGAAATGTTATCTGTCTTTCTATCTCCACAGATGATGCTGAGTTTCTTCATCATTTCCTGTATCTGTCTAAATTAAACACTGTGGTTAAAATTGCTGTACTTTTAAAAGAAAGTTACTGGAACTCACTGTGTATTTGTTTACAATGTTGCTTTGTGCAAGCAATAGAAGAAAATGTCCAAGATGCTGCATTTGACCATGAGTGGCACCAGGGACCCCTAGCAAAACTGGAATCAGTAGGTATCAGGGGGCAAACTCTCTGCTGGTTGAAGTCATACCTGCACATCAGATGATGGTTGTGGTTGTTGGAGGTCAGTCATCTCAGCTCCAGGACATCCCTGGAGGAGTTCCTCAGGGCAATGTCCTAGGCCCAACCATCTTCAGCTGCTTCATCAATGACCTTCCCTCCATAATAACATCAGAAATAGGGATATTTGTTGATGATTGTACAATGTTCAGCACCATTTGCGACTCCTCAGAAGCAGTCCACTTTCAAATGCAACAACATCTGGACAATATTCAGGTTTGGGCTGACAAGTGGCAAGTAACATTCGCTCCACACAAATGCCAGGCTATCACCATCACCAATAAGAGACAATCTAACTACCGCTCCTTGACATTCAATGGTGTCACCATCATTGAATCCCCCACTATCAACATCCTTGGGCTTACCATTGTCCAGAAACTCAACTGGACTCACCACATAAACACAGTGGCTACAATAGCAGGCCAGAGGCTAAGAATTGTGTGACGAGTAACTCACCTCCTGACTTTCCAAAGCCTGTACACCATTTACAAGGCACAAGTCAGGAGTGTGATGAAACACTCCCACTTGCCTGGATGGGTGCGGCTCCAATAACATTCGATAAGCTTGACACCATCCATGACAAATCAGCCGGTTTGATTGGCACTACATCCACAAGCATCCACTCCCTCCACCAACAACGCTCAGTAGCAACAGTGTTCATTATCTGCAAGACACACTGCAGAAATTTACCAAAGATCCTCAGACAGCACCTTCCAAACCCATGACCACTTCCATCTAGAAAGACAAGGCAGCTGATACATGGGAACAGCACCACCTTCAAGTTCCCCTCCAGGTCACTCACCATCCTGACTTGGAAATACATCATCGTTCCTTCACTGTTGCTGGATCAAAATCCTAGAATTCTCTCCCTAATGGCATCATTGGACAATCCACATCAGGTGGACTACAACAGTTCAAGAAGGTAGCTCACTACCACCTTCTCAAGGGTATCTAGGGACGGGCAATAAATGCTGGCCAGCCAGTGACTCCCACATCCGACTAATGAATAAAAAAGAACACAATGGATGTGTCAGCTTCACCAAGAAGCAGGTTGTTGATTGATTTGTGCAGTTGGTACCAGTTATAGAGACAAAGAGTCATCAGCATGACAATAGCTCTCTGAATGTCTCCTGGGCAGGTGGACAGAGAGACTGCGGACAATGCAAGGGGAGAAGCCAACAGACTGCAATAGAGATCGAGTCTCTGTCTCTGTCACTCTCTCTATACAGTGAAGTAACCAAAGCCAAGAAGATAACTAGCCATTCTCTTCTATTAGTTGCTGTAAATTTTGTCCTCAAACCAGTGACTGGAAGATTATAATTAATGGTAATAGTTCTGCGCCTTAAGCAAAGAATGGAATCTGAAATTGAGGAAATCAGATAACAGGAAGTCTTGAAGGAGCAAAACGGACTTCCTGCCAAATCATGTGAACTGTTTATCTCCAGTATTTCTTTTCTCCATCCTTTATATGTGTCTATCTGTATGTGTTTAAAAGAGGGGTTAGAGTTCCACCAGTAGAATTACACGTTGGTTATTCATAGCTCTTTTTCCCTGAGGTTGGCTATGACCTGTTTGTTATAAGCAGTAGTTTCTTGCTAAGTACAGAATGCCCATCAGTGTTATCTGTTATCTGAGTTCATCAGGTAGGAAAATTGGGGACTTTGTTTAATTTGATTAAATCCTGAATCTTAGGTTTGACCCTAAGAGTGGTGGGGCTCCAGAATCAGCGCACTTTCCTAAGTGGGTCGTCAGACCACCTCAATATTCTTTAGACACTACAGTTAGTGCAGTTATCAATCTGAAGTTCTCTTAACCATGTTATGTTGTCTGTACATTATGAATATAATTGTTTTTGTAAAATTATTTTTGAACTGCAATATATTTAAATGAGCCCTTCAACATATGCCCAGGAAAAGCATAACAAATTGAAGACATTAAACTACTGATTGAAAAAAAAGTCCAGCTTTGTTCTGACAGTGAGTTTTTGCTGACAGTTTGTATTGAGTATTATATTGAGAACATATACTGAATCATTAGATAACCATTATGTAATCATGCACAAGTGAGCTCTAAAATATTTTAACGAGCAATTTAAGTTGCTCATTTAGAAAACAAGCTTGGAATTAAGCACTTCCTGTTATATTTACAAAAATCACACAAGTTAGTTAGAATCAGGCTATTGCAATGAAATAACAGCAACCAATACAGTTGTCTGCATTCTAAGTATAGAGTCCTTTCTTGTGATATGGAAGACTGCAAATTCATTGCACGCTTATTTCCAAAAACACGTAGTAGATTCGCTCTGAACACTGAGTAAGTAAATGGAAAGCCCAAAGTCCTTGGCCTGTTTGGAAGTTCTGAAGGAAGGGAGTGTATGGCCAGACCTCACTTTAATATTTGGAAGTTGCATGTCACCTGAGTTCAGAAGAATTGATGTCAATGTGTGAGTGGGAATTAAGGCAGGAACTAGCCACTGATTGCATTCAAAACAAATTGAATTGAATTGACTTGACTTGAATTAAGTGCCAATTCGAATTTCTCAAGTCAATGTTTGTATGTTAAGGGAGAGAACTGTCAGGCAGAGGAGGCCTGCAGACTTCTTAGATTCGAAAGGCCAAAGGGGAGCTGTGCTTTTCCTGGCTCACTAGGATACTGAACAAAAACCTGGGACAGAATTTTCCCATTTTCAGTTAAGGTGTTTTATTGAGTGCTTGGAGTGTGCTCTATGAACGTGTAATGTAGACAGAAGCTGACAGTCTTAAAGTAAGTGCAAAGTAAATAAGTGCTAAGAAAACAAGCTGAGTGCCATAAGATGCATCCTGTGCATGTGTGTCCTGTGCATAAAGTGGACTGGCAGAAGCATGCAAGTTATAGACTGCTGTGATTCATGAAGGTGGTTTATCACCACCTTCTCAAGGGTAATTAAGATGTGTGATAAATGTTGGCTGAGCATGTGATCCTGCAAAAGAATTTTTAAAAATCTGGCTGAGCCAGAGCTTATTTACATTCAGCATAATTTCCCTTCCTCTATACTCAATTCCTCTATTATGAAACTGAAAATCTCATATCCATTTCTAATTATCCTCTCAATATGCCCTGCCTCCTTGCATTTTCCTCACAACTACATTCCCTTATAGTTTACTGTCATCTGCAAATTTGGAAAAATTATACTTGAACTAGATTGTGAACAGTTGTGGGCCCAGCACTGACCTTTGCTGTGCCCCTCCTACTAATAGCTTTCCAATTTGAAAATGCTCCATTCATTCATATTGTATTCTCTATTCTGTTTATTAACCAATTCTTAGTCCAGGCCAATATATTTTCCCTTATCCCATGCTCCCTATTTTTATTTATGAGCCTCCTGGCCAGATGGAGCTTAATTTAGATAAATATGAGGTACTGCATTTTGGAAAGGCAAATCAGGGAAGCACTTATACACTTAATGGTAAGGTCCTGGGGAGTGTTGAGGAACAAAGAGACATTGGAGTGCAGGTTCATAGTTCCTTGAAAGTGGAGTCACAGGTAGATGGGATAGTGAAGAAGGTATTTGGTATGCCTGCCTTTATTGGTCAATGCATTGAGTATAGGAGTTAGGAAGTGAAGTTTCGGCTGTACAGGACATTGATGAGGCCACTATTAGAAAATTGTGAGCAATTTTGGCCTCCCTGCTATACGAAGGATGTTGTGAAGCTTGAAAGTGTTCAGAAAAGATTTATAAGGCTGTTGCCAGCGTTGGAGACTTGAGCTGTAGGAAGAGGCTAAATAGACTGGGGCTATTTTCCCTGGAGCGACAGAGGCTGAGGGTTGAACTTATAGAGTTTTGTAAAATCATGAGGGGCATGGATAGGGTAAATAGACATGGTCTTTTCCCTGGGATGGAGGAATCCAAAACTAGAAGACATATGTTTAAGGTGAGAGGGGAAAGATTTAAAAAGGACCTAAGGGGCAACTTTTTCACGTAGAGTGTGACACATGTGTGGAATGAGCTGCCAGAGGAAGTGGTGGAGCCGGGTACAATTACAGCATTTAAAAGGCATCTGATGGGTACATGAATTGGAAGGGTTTAGAGGAATATGGGCCAAATGCTAGCAAATAGAACTAGATTTATTTTGAATATCTGATCGGTGTGGATGAGTTGGACCGAAGGGTCTGTTTATGTGCTGTATATCTCTGTGATTCTGTGACTGTATGAAATATGAAAATCCAAATATGCCACACCCACTGGTTCTGCTTTATAAACCCTATAAGCAATATTCTCAAACAACTCCAAGTTTGTCAAATATATTTGATAAATTCATGTTGACTCTGTACAACTTTACCATTTGTTTTTAATTGCCGATTCAATTATCAGATCTAAAAAATGTGATACCTGTTTGGACCAGGCAGTTTATTCACTTTATGCATAGCCAGTACATCCAGCCTATTAATTTTCATTCCTTGCATTCCCTACTATTTCCATTTCATTATTTTGTCAATCTTTCTTCATAAGCACTGATTAAAAAGTACTCATCTAAGTATTATATCCTTGTCCTGTGCCTGTAGCATATATCACCCTATTTGTCTCTAATGGCCCCCATTCCATCTCTTTATGACCTATTCACTGTTTGAAGCTATTGGAACAAACAGAAAATCCTGGAGAAATTCAGCAGGTCTTGCAGCATCTGTAGATAGGGAAAATGAGCTAACATTTCAAGTCTTCAGAACTCATGGATTATTTGAGTTCTGTTCTAGGTTTATTGCTATTGTGTTCTCATATTCACTTTGTGCCAATTTTAACTTCCTCTTCACCCGCCCTTGAAAATGTTTGTATTGACCTGGTTCTTGCTTGAAAAATTTGGTGGTCATATATTATCTACCCATTTAATTTTTGTTTCATCATATTTTCACCTCTGTGATCATTGCATGAGCACTGGCTTCTCAACTTTTTAACCTCATTGGAATGTTCCCTAGTCTGTACTTGAAGTATCTTCTCCTTAAATAATTGAATCTCTACGGTGTGGAAGCAGGCCATTTGGCCCATCAAGTCCACATCATCCCTCTGAAGAGCATCCCACCCAGACCCTTACCCTTACCCTTACCCTTACCCTATCCCTGTAACTCTGCATTTTCCCCTGGCTAATCCACCTAGCCTACATATCCCAGGACGCTGTGGCCAGTTTAACATTGCCAATCTACCTAAAGGTTGCACACATTGTTTCATTATAGATTTTTCCATCTGTCTTTGGTTCCTAGGCTAGATCCCTTCTCAGCTTTCTATCCAACATTAACAACTTAATGACCAAAAACTTCATTGAGTTAAGGGTCTGCAAAACAAAACTCTTTTGTTGGTTGCTGTAAACACCTAGAAACCTCTGGCATTTCCCTCATCAGTTATCTCTGACCTGGTGAAATTGTGTGGCATTAGGTCTTGTTGCTTGACCTGAGAAAAACATCCTGACCTTATTCGATCTGGCATATGAATTTTCTATCTACTAAACTTTAAGTTCATTCACAGTGATTGCATAATATGCCTATTTGTTTGCATAATATATCTGTCCGGGAATGGGTGGATGCAGGAAAATGGAAGAATTAAATTATGTAGCAGAATTCTCTTATTTTTGGACTCAGAGGTATTCATTGCAAGAATTAGTTTGTTGGGGGAGGGTGAAATCACTGGATTCACTGTAATGACCAGTAACGATACCACTGCTTTTAGAGTACTAATGAAAGAGGATTTGGTTTGGTCAAAAACAGTTGTGGAGTTTTTTTTAATTTCTACCATATATTTATACCAAAATCAAATACTTAGAGACCATGGGAAAAACCAAGATCTACAATCACTTTTTGAACATATCAATCTCATTAATAACAAGAGGCAATATTCTGCAAAAGATCTCCCTTTTCGAACAAAATAAATTGCATTGTAAAATTGCATAAATGGGATTATCAAATTAATTAATGCATTAAAAATATAATTGCATGCGATGGATACAATGGGAAGTATTGATTTGTAAGTTCCCTTTAATGGCGGTTTAATTGTAGTGTGAGATTTATCACTAAATTTTAATCTGTTCTCCTACCTTTCCTACCAGTATGGGAAAGTTCTGGAATTATATTACAATACAATAAAGAAATCCGATCATCTGACGCTACAGATGCCAATTGGTCTATGTTTTTACAAGTGTATTTTAAAATAGTTTTTACATAAGTGTTTTCTTAGTAAAAATCTAAGTTCTACAATTTCACCTCAGCTTTGCTGCATGCATGTTAACAACTTCAAAGAATGTAGCATTCATGAGAAGCCTGAAGTCAAATGCATGGCTGCTGCCTGTCACACAGGAAATAAAAGTGCTAATTAATTGATTTCTATGTATTCAGAAATGTCTCTGATATTAGCAGAGCAATGACGTTTTGTTTTAGAATCTTGATGTTGCTTCACTTCAGAAATTAACACTAATTTAAAATAAAAGATCTCTCTGAGCAACAATGTGAGAAAACTTCTGTGGATTCATTGCTACAGAAAGACTAAGATATCATTTTCTAGCAGGATACTTACGTCAAATCAATCAGCACTTTAAAGAAGACAAATTCAAATTTCCATTATAACTATTTTTCTTAGATTCTTTGAAAACTATTAACTCCTTTTTTCTTCTTTTTGTTGGATGTTAACTTATCTCTGTATTTTCAGCATTATCAGTTGTGGATAATTGTGGAAATAGTTGTGGAAAATATAATTGCATAAAAATTGTTTTACAATTTTACAATAGGAAATTTTTAATTTTACTTTAGAAATATTGTGCTCATTGAACATTTATTATGATTTTTAAATTGCCTTTTCTAATGTATATGAGTTCATGCATAAATGCTGTGTGGCAGAAACAGCAATTACATTAAGCTAATTTACTTAATTTTGACTGTAATAAGTTGTAGTAGCTCAAAATCCTGTATTTTACTCAGGGTTTCTGACAGTTCTTTTTAAACAAATGTTTTTAAAATGAGAGCCATAATATTTGTCTGCAAGCCTCAGAAGTAATTTTCATTGGTTATATATTCGTCATTAATCGGGAATGTACTGAAATCATTTCTTGTAATGCATTTTGAATTCAAAAGCAACCTAATGTACATTTTTGTCATATTTATATTTTTAAAATTCTCGCTAAAACGTTTTGATAAAAGTAATTGCTTTCATTTATTCCATGTTAACAGTGAATGGTACGCTGAATTATAGATTGCCAACAATATAATTGCATAAAAAAATTTAGAAGCTATTTCTCATGGCACAAAATGCCATCATTAAAGACACTTACAGATTGCTCTTGTTGAAAAATCATTCATTAAATATGCAGACCTCTTTTGTATTAATCGGAAGTATTCCAAGTATTACTCAGCGCTAGCGAATGTAGTGCCATTAAGGTTTCAAGTGCTAACTTTTCATTTGCACAGAATTTGACAGTCAACAAAGACGCAAAGTCAGTGCATGCATATAAATATGTACCATCTTACCAATAGCAGTGAAAAGAGGTGCCCTCAATACCAACGGTGTTAAAGTCATCAGTGACTGAGTGATAATATCCATTGGGTAAATTAGTGAAAGCCATTGGAGAGAGTTCTCTGTAATTCAGTTATGTATGTAAAGTACATCGAATATTCAGAAATGGAAAAAAAGGTTATCCATATTGATAAATCCATTCAAAAGCAGTTGAATTGGTACTATTCAGGATGATAATAGATGAATGCATGTACACTTATGCCATTATGTTTATAATTCCATGGCAAATTTTCCAGAATTCCTACACCATTTGACTCGAGCTACATTTACAAGCCCATTCCTCCAGAAGAAAGGCAGAGACTTCTTGAAATAAAATTTAAATTATTTTGTATCCAAGCGATGCTCGCTATTTTGCATATTATTCTACCCATGTAAAGAACAACAGCGACATCTGCATGTTCACTACACAAAATGTCGCAGTCAGCAGTGTGTGGCTTTTTTGCCAGCTAATTGTACAGTAGAGTCACGATGTATCTCATTTGAATATTAATATTGGCAACAAAAGCGAGAGCGAAGGAAAGAACAAAGCGGCCTAATTTCCAAATGAATTCATGTGTTGTACATCAGCAACAGATTTCCATGCTTAATTGTCTTTATAGTTTTCCCAGGAAGTAATTTTGATTATCTGCCAGAACTAGGCAATGTTGGGGTGAATGAATTAAACCATTGAGAAAATACACAAAGGCCTGTGATTACTATGTTATTCATGTATGAAAGTGACAAAGACCCCACTGTATCTGTCGTGTACGCATAATAGGCTTTCAGACTGAAATAATTGATTAATCACATTAATGGTTTAATAGTGGCTATCAAAATTAGATGCACGTTAATTTGTGCAGGAATAGTTGCGCATGTGGTCTCTTGATTATAGACAAATGTTGAAAGGTGGTGTTCCACAATTTCACCTAATCTTCACTTCTGACATTCTCTTTTTTAATTACCAAAAAAAAGTTTGTGTTTTCACAGAAATTAAGAAATTATTAGCACCGTTTTCCTGTACAGCAACATTTCCGTATTAAAGTGATCCACGTTTCCTTAAATCTCCTCTGCCATATCATTTTGAATATAATTTTTTCAAAATACTGTCATAATAAAATTAGGAATCCACAATGATTTCCAGCCACTGTGTTTCAGATATAACAAAGTCAGCGGATTAAAAGGGGAGAAAAAAGCAGACAGTCAATTGAGCAGACTAGCTTCTGATATGGATCATATGAGACTCACATTGTATTCATCCCACTCTGAATACCCCATGCTTAACCAGCTTAATGATATGCAAATGAAATATGCATAAAACCATTCTACTGTAAGATGATTAAACACTGGGGACGTTAACTGCCACCACATGACTGTTTGACTGTAATAATTTTAGAACATTCACTTTGATTGCGGCGTATGGAACCTAGCAGCTGGTAGAGCCTGTGACCCATTTAACGTTATCCCTCTGCAGAGAGCTTTTCTCCCCTGAACGTCGGTTTTCACAGGCACCGCTGCCATTGTATTCCAGTCAAACCCTCGTAGATTCTTTCCACAGCAGAAACACCTTGTTAACAAAAATCTTTTCCGTTTACATTCATAAGCACGTACTTGAAAATGAGAATGTACATTAAAAGATAAATCCAGAACTCATTTTAAATTGCCCAGAAGATGCCAGGTTAAAATCCATCACCAGCAGGTTGAATCGGCAGTGTATACAATTTGCATCCTATGTGTGGCACTTAAGGAAGTTGCAGAAGTATTCCATTAGCTTGCTCTGTTTCTTGTTATTTTGTAAAATCCACACGTAATTATTTTCAAAATTTCTTTTGTACTTTTTGTTCCTTTTGTTTTCAGCTCTCGTCGGTAGCGCTGCGTGCGATGCCAACTGAACACCTTTCGGGATCCACGGCAACACTTCCACCGTAAGTAAAAAGGCACTCCCTCCCAGATAGAGAGAAACATTTCATTTTCCCATTCAATGTACTGCAGGATTTATCCAAGTAGCACCTTTAAACCTTCTCACTTCAAGTTTGTACACGTCTCTGTGGCATCCCTCCTCCTTCATTCCCATAGTGGATCTTGTAAAAGGCTACAGATCGGCCCATTCATCTCCCTGGTGATAGCACTGAATGCAGATAAATCTCAGGCAGCCTGCCTGCTGCAAGAGTATGATTTTTATTTTCCTTGTGTACCTGGGTCAATTGATGGTTAAAAACACACTCCAGATTAAACAGTAAATCTCCAAAGTCCTGTCAGGAAGAATGTGAGCACCAAAATCGCCTTTATTCCCATTTTTGTAAGTTGCAAAGTATAATTTTTACACAAATCCTCGTTTTTCTCCTCTGTCAAGTGGCAGTACCACGCAGACATGTACGCTTGGTTCACTGTCATTCCCCATGGCATCGGATTGAAAGCGTTACTCCAAAATAGTTCCTTTGTGTTTTTGTTGGTATTGTTTTTGTAAACGAAGTTGAATAGAAAACAAGTCGACATCGAACAAAACACTGGCTCATGCTTTGACAATTGGCCATATTGCCCCTGGCACCATGTCGTTACTACTGTTTTTTCATTTCCTGGCATCCTTCGAAAACACAGTCGATGGCATGGCGGCTTTTGTCTTCGAAGGGGGGAAAGTATCGGCAGTCGCTTCTGCACGGCCAAGCAAAAGATGATTAAACAGAGACATGCACACATCCTTGTTTTCAACTTGAAACATGTCCTCTGAGGAAGGATTTACAGTGGAGCGCATGGTAATCCTGCCAGTTGCGCCTTCAGATATGACTTCGTGTTTGCTGTAGGGGTCTGGATAATCTCCCTTGGCTCAACAGTTCTGACAGACGTACATACGGGCCCTAACATACCCGCTGTTATCAAGAGAGCTGTGGCGCTGCCAGTGAATGGATGGCAGTGTGCCAGCTCTTGCCATTTGCGCGGCTTTCTATAGACTTGACACTAATTAACATTAGGGTTAATTGATTTTAAAAGCTGAAGAATTATAGTTAACATTCCCAAAGGGTAAACACACCAATAGCTTGGCATAACTGCCGTGCTGGCGCAGGGAAGCCCGCAGCAGCAGCAGGAACAGCATCGGCTGTTTATTGGACTATAGCTGATGGGAGACTACACTTTACAGTCTCATCTGCGACAATATGTTGCAAGGATATTTTGTTATAAATACTCAAAGCCTACTTAAATGAAAGCTGGAATGAAGTTGTAGAGAAATTTTTGTCATATCACCCTCGGGCTTTATTGTAATCAGTAAATTAGTCCCTTCTGTCATATTTGATTAAGTAATTATCAGCATGCCGTTTTACCTAACATTTGAAAAGATGAGGCAAAGGGGAGAGCCTTTAAATTTTTTAAATACTAGTCTTCTGTAACCTTCTTTGCAAGACAAGGTCAGAGCTGACTAATTGGCTCAGGTGCTTAATCTACATAAAGTACCTCATTAAGGCAAAGTTATTTCCTGTAATTAAGGAAAAAAAAGAAATAAAAGCTGGAGTATAGATACCTGCTTCACTTAGATAATTTCTGATTGTTACTGAAGGAATTTACTTCACAAATTGGAGGCATGTTGTACAAAATAAAATCCTTTTTCAGTAAAAAGAGCTTGTTTTGTGATATCAAAGCTTGCTGAATAGGAGGTAAAGAAAGGAGCGGTAGCAATGACAGGAATCCATTATGTAAATGACCTTCATTTGCATGTATCCTATGACTAGAATATGTAAATGAGTTGCATAATTTAGATCTAGCTGCATCTGTCTGAAACTATTACAATAGTTACAAAACAAGATTGCAGAATTCAAAATTAAAATGTGATGTATTTACAAAAATAGATTTTTAAAAAGATAGGTAATTTAAATATATTATTACAAGATAAATACTGGATTAATATCTTTTTAATCCAGTTTTTAAACTCAAGTATGAATTTTCCAAAGCATGCAGTTGTTTCGTCACTTTCGAACCGTGGGAACGTTCTTGTATTAAATTGGAATCGCTTTTTTCAAATAATTTAATGCATGAAGTATCAAACAATAGCAATAAACCTAGTCCTTAGAAGTACTGTTTATTATAATTTTTAGGATCGGATTTGTTTAAAGATTATAATGACTACCATCTTCAAGATTGATATCAAAATACTGTAAATAAGAGAACTTTTAACATTCATGGAACATTTGAGATTTTAAAAATGTATTCAACCTATTGCAAGACAACAAGCTTTGAGTTAAAAACAAAATTTATTTTTCATCTTTAGTTGTAATGGTAAAATTAAAAAGTCTGGATTTTATTTTCCATACAAACATTTTGAATGTACATGGGAAGAATTAGGCACCTTGGAAGATTCTGTCAGTATTATTGCTCTCAGCACTATTCAATTTCAATTCCAGGTTCTGATTTTTCTTTTGAACTTGTGCCTTCATATTTTGGATAGAATCTTCTGATCCTGGAGGCAGTGAGGTAGGAGGCTGGAAGGGCATTTAATTAGACAGGGAGGAGGTGTACCTGAACCTCTGATGCTTTTCCCCCTCCATCTGAATTAAGTTCTGTGCAGAAAGATCCTTGTTTGACTTTCCCACTCCACCCCTAGTTGACGCCCAGCTCCTGTTGGAAAGGACTTCCGCCCCCACGGACCTGATTCTGGGTGAAGGCCCATCAGTGACCTCTTGTACATGATGGACAGAATATGTGGTGGCCTTCCTTCTGATAATCAGTGTTGATGGCTCCACAATCTTTCAGGCAATATAGAAGACACCTTCCAAAGTCAGAAGGTTCCTCTCTTTGTTTCTCATTCAGCCGTGGATATTCTATTTTCCATCTCATTCTCTTAGAAATTTGAACTTTGCTCATCATAATATTATTAATATTGTATGAAGTCGAAAGTACAACTATTTTTTCTCCAGAACATTGATGGCTTTATTAACATACTAGTTTGGAACTTAGCAATTCTTTGTTTTCTGTCATTGATACTAAATTATAAGTTTATAAAGTGAACAGTGAGAGTTTTCCATGCAAAATTAATTCCTATTCTGTGTCAAATATTGCTTGTTATAATTAACTTCATTTAAATTTATTTTGAAAAAAAAATTATTTAAAATATTTTAAATCTTTAACAACCGGTAAATGTTTCCATAAATTTTATTTTCCATTATACTTTAAAGTATTTGTTCACCTATTCACAAGAAAGCTATATTTTTATTGGTGATCAATAATATGCAATGTCAGAACTTGTATGTGAAAATTGATATGAATTCCCTTAAACCCCAAATTAGAAAGCACTTCTGTGCCTTGATTGGTTTCTCTTGCGTCGTTTTCTGCTTGTTTTATACTTCTGTTGGCGCTAGGTGTCTGAGATGATGATAATGATGTGGGTTGGTCCTAATACATTGGTTCAGTTGGCATTGAAAACCGAAAAGAATGGCTGAAATTGCACCGTTTGTTATTAATAATGTGCATATTTGTGTTGAATTTAGTTTGCAAGATGTTAGCATTAGATGTTATACTATATAAGTAAGAGATTTCATTGAATTTCTCAGGAAGGTTTCAAGACGTTTTATTTCATTTGCTGAAATTTTATATGGAAAATTGTCATTCTAACATGTACATTATTAAAATCCTACAACATGATTACAACCAAATTAAATATTACATTTCTGAAGAAAACATTAACTCTGTTTCTTTCTCCGCAGATGCCGTCAGTATGTACAGCATTTTCTGTTTTAACTTCCAATTTCCAGCAGAATGTTGCTTAAATTTTACATTCATTAGAACACTGATATAAAAAGATCATTCATTTAAAAATGAAGTTGTTTCTTTCTTCTTAGTGAGTCATGGAGTCTTTGGAGTCTTGGAAACAGAAGTAAATAAATTGTTGATATTCAAGTGGGTGAAAGATGATCAGTAGGCGTGAATGCAGACTTGAGGTTATAATCAGATCAGATCTTATTTAATGGCAGAACAAGCTTGGGTGGAATAATGGTGTACTCCTGCTCCTTGGTCTAACATTCATTATTATATAAAATGGAAGGAAAACTTGCCTTACATCTGCTCAGTTTTATTGTTTCCATGATATACATTTGTATTCCCTTTAATTTGCATCTTACTAATACTGGCTTGCTGATATTGTCGAGAAAAGTTTGTACTTTCAAATTCATGTAATCAGTTCAGCAATTGTATGCAATTTTTAATGAATTAAAGCTATCACAATTTTGTTTTACTGAATGTCACAAGCAATATTGAGCGCTCCCTGGCTGAAGCTATAACTGTTGCTGAAGCAAAATGAGATTTCCACAATAGCATGGGTCACATTATGAATAGCATGCATTAAGAAAATAATTTAGGAAAGATTTTTAAGTACTGAAGACCATGTAACAAAAACTTGAATTTCATACCAAAACATTAGGAATGTAACAAGCCCTGCTGATGCTGTTTGGTTTGTTTCACATTTACAGCAATGCAGGCTGTGGCCCTTGGTTGCCTGGTTCAGCATAGCAGTGCCTTATCAGTTTGCCTTCTTCTGTCTTCCTGCTGAGAACGTTCACTCTCTGAAGATGTCTCTCAGAGTTCTTTGTGGAGTTTTAGCTAAATTACTGTCTCTCAGTTTGCTTTATAGTGATCATACTGGAGATAGATGCTATGCCAAAGCCGTTGCATAATACTTGTAAATTAGGTAACAGATCTATCTTGTTTCTGTTAGTTAAAGTAATTAGCTTTTAACTATTTCAGCTGTTAGTTTGTATGGTTCTCAGGTTGCAGGACAAGCTATTCTCACCTCCAGGGGAATCATTGTCAGGGAGTTTAATTTACCTTGTAAAATTTGTTGAATTCCGAGAAGGTCTCTTGTAATTTCTTCCTGAGATATGTACAATCCAGTCCCAATACCAGCTCAATCTCTGAAAGTCATCTTGTGACTTCAGGGAAACAT